CACACACACACACACACAAAACCCCATAAAACCAACTCTCCTTCCCGGAAACATCCTAAAGACGACAGAGAACCCTTGGGGCTCCGGCTGTGTTTCCTCAAGCTTACACTAGGAAACAAAGGGGAGTTTCATCGAGTAACAAGTGCATCTACTGAGATATATATAGATATATATTTTTTTTACTTCATAACTTTCATTGTGGTCTTAGGTGGAAGATACGAAATGGGCAATTATCAAAACTCATTAACCATGCAAAGAAGGCCCTTAGTGGGGCCGGTTTGGGGGACCACTGTTGGGAAGGTGCAGGCTATGCTTAAGGCCATTGGGACCGGGGGCCACTCGGCATAGCAGAAGCAAGTCTCATGGCGTGGGGCATTGCCCATTGAATTCCCTCGTCTTCTTTTGGGGAGAGAGAGAGAGAGAGACATGTAGAAAGTGACATTGATTTAATGAGGTGGTGTCCTAAGTGTTGCAGCTAAGGTATGGGGGCTGTCCCAAATGTGGACTAGAGTCTTGATTCCACTTGTTCTTCTTTTCTTTGACCACACTGCTATGCTGATAAAAATTTCTAATTAAGTTTTTTATTAAAGTAATGTGAGATAGTTTTTATTACAAAATAAGTGGGTCTTATTCAGGATTAACCCAAGAATACTTAAGGTCCTAGGCAAAATTTTTAGATGGGGCACTAAAATTATTTTTAGATGAATAATTTATTTATTTTTATTTTTAAATATTTAAAGTTATATATTTTAGTAGGTAAATTTAAGGTGAAAACCAACTTGCAAAACAAACTCATCATGTAACTGATTAAATTAAAATCAACTTAACTCAAAAATTATAGTTTAACAAAATATAATGTATAAATAGGTCAAGGGTTATTGCAAATTCAGATAAAATAAGAGCGTAGAATCTAGTAATTTTTTGTACAATAATATAGTGCGATTTTTTTTTCTTTTTGAACATACATATATTTATGGTTTAAAGAATAATATTTTTAATTTCTTTTTGATCATTTTATGAAACATCTTAATTTTTTATTTTTTAAAAATTTATTCAGATAATTTTGTAAAATATATGTGAACTTGAATTTGTACCACATCACTTGAGATAAAAAATTTTATAAGTATTACATTATTTTTTCTTTTATTCTGAGGCTTGAGCATAGCTTGTTTCTGTCCCTTAAAATAGCCATTGTGGAAAATATTTTCTTTTTCCCTTTATCAAAATGTGGAGAACTCGAATCATTGGAGTACTACTAGATTAACCCAAAAGGTAGTTCAAGTGATAATAATAGGGACGAATTGTAAATCCAAACGTTTTGAAATTCAAATTTTGGTAATCTCTTGTAGGTCGCAGAGAATTTATCACGTATGAATATTCTAATTTTAGCGTAGATGATCTGTCTTTGACCAGACCGTATAAAAAATTAATCAGAATACACATAAACTGATCCGAACATCCCAAACTGTTTAACAAAAAAAAAAGAGGACCATTGGATTTACATTTCGGTGTGTCCAGCTGATTTACTTTGCTATGTTTTCCCCTTTCTTTGAGCTTCTGGATACACCTAAGGGACAGTTTTGGGTGGCCTGCCAAACCCCAGAGTTTCTCATCATTAGAGTGGATGTAAACCTTGGTATGCCCAAGGATATGCCTATGAACTTCAGACACAATTTGCTAATGCAACATGAATTGACACGAAATTAGGGTCATGACATTAATTTTTAATGGGTTCAGATAATAATAGGTGGATTTATAAGATCTATTCTATTAGTGAATACATATAAATTTGACTAGACGTAATACAAAATCGACTAAATTCGATATATACGTGGTACACTATGAAATCAATAAATTGAATAAATTTTGACATTGTACGATTTAGAAAATATACATGCCACGACTCAACTGGAGAAAACCCTAGATCCACTTTTTGCACCCCGAAATAAAAAATAAAAAATGGGGCTATATTATTGCTTTGACGACTCAATGAATCGGTGGGAATAGCTATTTGGATGAGACGTTCAATAACAATGACTATGAAGTCGTAATTTTTTTTTCAACGGTTGAGTTTAACTTTTAGTAATTCAGAAATTTTACGTTCAATTTTTTTCTTATCATTTCTAAGACTAGTCTCTCTTGTTCCCTTAAAAACATGTTCTAACACAGTTCAAATCGCGATAATCAATCATTGAATTCGAAAGAATAATCAACACATACAAATTATTTTTTGAATTTCTCATATTAAGTAATCAATATCCCCGACATTGAGATGCGGGTGTCATGTTTGAATGTTGTCTACATTGATCAACAAACTTATAATTTTTGTATCTCTTCTAAAATGATTATCAAATTCCATTAATATAGTCTCTTGCTTGTGAAATTAAAAATCCATTTCTCGAAGTGTCCGACAATCAACACTTGACCATGTTTGGTATTGGTGCATTTATTACATGGACACTTTGTCCCATTTGCCAACTTGTCAAAAGAACATGTCGGAGAGTACTCTGCTGCTTTTCTTCTATGTATTCTTTCGCATTTTTAACGAGTAAATAATAATAAGACATGATCAACTAAATTTCATATAATTTAATAATTATTCATTTATATCATGTAATAATTATTTTACATGAGATTTATTTGTCCACATGTTATCTTATTATTGAACACTTATATCATGTCTACATGAAGATGTGGTAATGTAACCGTTACATCCAATATTTTATACATTTTAATATCTAAATATTTCTCGTGACGGTTCCGTCGAATAAAGAGACTCATTTTTGTGTGTAGTGTTTTTTTTTTTTCCTACAAGATATTTAAACTTGGATCGATTATTCCTTCAAGCTCAGTGTCTAATCATCATAGTTTGAGCTAATCTATACATGATTGACACAAATTTGAACATTTTGTAGTTTAAAAAAAAGAAAAAAGCACTACACACAAAATGAGTCTCTCTATTCAATGGAACCGCCGTAGATATTAGTTCAAGTGATACTACGTTACCTTATTCCTAGGGATAGTTAGGGCTTTAACCTCCGTTAAGGGAAGTAGGGGGTGTGCGCAGCTCTGTGGTCCTCACCTATGGCTGCGGTTAGGACACAGAGTCATTACCTAAGACGTAGTGTCTTACTTGGACCTGACCCTGTGCTAATAGGTACATACCACTGCACCAAAAAACACATAGCACGACGTGTGTCAGCCAAGTTTCTTGGAAAGTAAACCGAACTCAGACAACCCAACATATAAAGAGGACCCGGGAAACCCAACAAGGACCAGAGACACCAGACACCGACCAGCCTTGTTTTAGGCAGTATTCAGCCCCCTAAAACTGGATTTAGGGTTTGGAGTTTTGAATAAATATATCATTTTTTGGGGGGATATTTTTGAGCTTGATTGTGAATCCCCTATTATTATCCATAACAGCTTAGTATTCAAATAGTTGTTATGATCAATTCCTCTCTCAAAAACGAGAAAAAGTACATAAAGACTTCAAATGAGGATGAGAACAGGAATTGACAAATACGGGCAATAACACCAGTTTTGAAAGCAAATTTAGAAGTAGCCCTTGCTTTTCGGAGCTACTCCCAGCTCTCACTATGGTGGAGGTGGTGCCATCATCAAGGAGTGTGAGCAATACGAGCTGAAAGGTTCCCATATTGTTTGGAGGGCAGGGGACATAGACGCCAAACAAACTTGACACCTATCTATCGCCATAGAAGTTGTTCCTAGGAAAGATTATGGTAAAGTTCCACCGGTTCAAACTCAGGAACAGAGTATTTTAATCACAGACAACTGATAAATTATATCTCGGGTAAAAAACGAAAAAAAATGAAAGCAAAGTTTCACCAGCAACATACATTATGGGTTGGATAATTTACTATACACCAAAAAAAAAAAAAAAAACCATCACTATGTACTTGCAATCTCAGGCTGATACCAATCCAACTTGGGATTTAAACTGAACAGTAACACATAATGCCTTCACTCAGATGAGATTTATGGTGAAGGAGACATAGGGATATGAATCCACATCACCTCCAAAACCGCCCATCCCTCCTTCGTCCTCAGTTTTCCAGTAAGTGCTGCATTTGCATGTGTATAAAAAATGAGGAACACCACATAAAAACATAGCAGTAAGAAGTTTGACAGAAAGTAGGGTTCATGTGGTCCTGGAACACCATTGAATACATGGCCCATCCCATGCAACTAATGTCGTCAAACCTGGAGGAGAGAATTCAATGGCCTAGACCACCTTTGGACCACCTAATTGTTAAAGGACTGGGATCCTAAAAAACGTGCTGAGTTTAAAATTTATCTTTTCCTTGATCAAAATACACTAAAAATGGCCCGAAATTTATGATGCAAACTTCTTTAGTGAATTGAGTTGGTATACATATTATCCATATGTGATGAATACAATAGGGTAAAGATGATGGGATGAAAAGAGCAGCCACACACAAATGCACTGAAGATGATAAGGTAAAGATGACGGGAGGCTAAAAAGAGTAGGGTATATCTGTTGCCACCAGAAAGGATACCTGCAGGATCTTTTTCTTTTCCTTTTTTTTTTTCTTGGGTAAATATAAATCCGATCCAGAAATCATCACATCAGTATTTCTTAATCAGACTTGTATCGACAAGCGCTCCATTATCCATGAAAAGCCCAAGATTTGGCAACAAGAGTCATTATCTTATTCTAAGATTGTTATGGCGGCAAATACCTGTTTGAACTGTCGCACAGACCCTCCAAGATAGATCTGACTTTCTTCTCACTTTTCGCCGAAGGTGCCAATACCACCGACTGAAATCAATTCGAAAGTGATCTCTAAGCCCAAATTTTAGTTTACAACAGGAAGTAAAAAAGGAATAGAAAGGGAAAGATGTCTGAAGTAGATAGTAGAGAGTTGCAAAGTATACTAACCAAAAATGATGGTGGCAAACCATATCTCAGAATGCTCTCCACAAAGACACGTACAGCACAGAAGTGCATCCAGTAGCTAAAAACCTTCTGGAACATGCACCAAAACCAGATTATTAAAAAATGCATAGATAAATTACTAAAATGAAACTCCAAAGAGGCAGTAACAGTTACAACTGCTGTCTACGTGAATTGTGTGTATTTCCATTGTATTTCCCACAACTATGTGGTTAACAAGCAAGGGAAAAACTTGTTTGCCGCCCCAGTGAGGGGAAAAGATGGAAATGCCCTTCTTCAATTCTTTAAAATGGCACATAATTCCACAATTCATGAATCGTAGAATCACTTTGTGATCTTTCCCTCTAACATCCTTATTCCAATCTTACTACAGTTAATTTGTAAAAAAATAAGATGAAGGAAGATAAACAAATGACCTATATTTGCATGCGTTTGTTCTTTGGCAGAACATGAAAATAAAATACCCAGAATTACGTAATTGAAATAAAGATGCAAAAATCAAGAAATCGAGTAAATTTTTAATTCAAGAAAACCCAGAAAGTTAGACAGAAATCTAAGAAACCATAAAAAATCTAGTAAATTCACCAACTAAGAAGACCCAGATTTCAGAAAACACCAAAAATTCTTGACCTATGAATGCGCAACAAGAAACTGAAATGAAGAGCATGCAACATCGAACATTGTTTGGTACTCATTATCAGAAATCACCTCAATATATAGTAGTACGACATGGGAAAGCACCTATCAGAAGAAAGAACTACATGAAAAATAATTTCCTTCAAATCCAAGTGGGTACCTCTAGCCTCTAGGAATGTTAATCTGGCTCGAAATTCTGGTAACCCATCCCTGCCCACCTGTAGAAGGAGATGTCAAAGCTAGTAATTGGAATGGCACGGTATAAGGGACAGACTCCTCAGAGAGATCTGGATTCAAAAAAAGCCATGCTACCCACCCTCGGTGACGAGGGATGCAACAATATAACATTTCCTTGCGCAGATTTGATAACAAAACGAGTTTGGCCCCATCACAATTCCATGCACTTCTATCCCCGGGTAGCTTCCCTTTTAGCAAAGGGATGGCTTCAAAATTTGGCTAATTGTGCACCCAAGATTTATTATAAACCGAGTAGTATCTAAGAAGACAAGAGAACAGTTTCCAATCAATGAAGATAGCTCCAAGGACCCTTATTGGATTTATTAGCCCAACAGATGATCATGTAAGATGCTTCACCAAAATATTGGGCATTGTAGACTTCCAGCTTCAATTAAACTTGTCAGCCCAACAGATTCAGGTATGAGGCTCCACCAAAATATTGGCATTCTAGACTTCTAGCTTCCATTACAGTAGTCAGAAAAGCAACAGTTTTCACTTCCATCGCATTCCATTTTCCTGAAGGTAATAAAGGTGTGGCGCTTTTCAATTTGTTCCCTAAATAGGGCATTATTGTGCAATTTACCAGGATACCCCCAGGAACACCCATAACATCCAGTGTCAAGACCCATAAGTGAATAAACTGTGAAATCCGCTTAAAATTGTCAGTCATCTTGTTTCATTATCGAAGCCATAATAATTACAAAGTCCTTAGACCCACCAAGGTATGGGGGAACGGAATTAAATCAGGCATTGTTATGGGACTCCATATTAATTGTTCAATTTCAGTTAGTAGTTCAATTATGGTTGAAAACATAAGCAGGAATAATATGAGTATTTCATGGGCTTCATCTAAGAAAATGAAAGTACCTCCCCATAACTGGCATAGCACCACTGCAAAAGAGAGCTTCTCTGTGTGTCCTGGTCTCGCATTAGTTTTTCTGTCTCCTGCTTCCGACTTTCTTGCGTTTCTGGATTAAATTCATAGTCACGAATCTGACTCACGAGAAATGAAACATGCAGTCCATTAGAAGAGACCGTTTTACCAGCATCAACATACCATATCATGTTGTTAGCAAGTCACAATATTAGATATTGCTAGAGATGCAGCAATATATTCTTGAAAACTATAAAATAGAAGGGACTTAGTATTCCCTACTTGAGAGATAAACTCACTTGAAAACCTCTTTCGTGTGCCTTAGTTCTAAAATTGTCAGCATCCTGATGGAATAATGTTACAGTATAAAGTGCATATTCACTGTCCTCGTGTAGCTTCTTGGAGGATCCGGGGACCTAAAATAATTAGTTCAATCAAAAAGTACCTGGGGACCTAAAAAAAAATTAGTTTGATCAAAAAGTAGAAATCACTGAAGCAAAAGACTATTCCACATCCGGGAAGAAGAAAATAAAATGCATTCAATAAGACAATACAAGACTAAGATGCATTTTAGCTCTCAATTGTGGAGAATATGGAAAGGGTAGAAGTCTAAAATCATCAGAAATTGCCAACTTCATAAGCAGTGTAGCAATCAGCTACCACACATCACTGCAGATACTAAGAAGCACTAACACCAAAATTAGGTAAACATAAACAGCAATCCTTTACCACATAGGTCGTGAGTGTCTCATAGCTTGACAACCAATCTTTCTCTGATAATTAGGAACAATGGCAAGGAGAGTTACCAAGGTTCTGATGTGATAATATCCTCTGGCTTAACTAAATTAGACAGATCACGAACAGCTAAGCTGGAATCAGAAAAATAGTTCCAAAGAAGTAAATGGTCATGCTAAACTCTGATGAACCAACCAAATAAATGATAGTGTCCCTTCCCAACCACGACGCTGTCTCTGCCACCACTTAAACCACCAACCTCCAACAATTATCAAGGCCCTAATATCAATGCTTGTCAAAAGTCACCATAAAATTGTTAGAGTATTAATACTAAGGGTAGTTGAGGCATTTTCTTTTTTTTTTTTTT